ATTCCCTTCTGAAAACTGTGCAATCGTTTTGGACACAAATGTTGGCTTCAAAGGTTTCATCACTCAGAGGTTTCAGCTGCAGAAACTTGAACATGAGTCATTTTCCTTTTGCCCATATGGCTAGGACAATGGTGCTTACAGTGCATGTAATCCCCCAGCACTAATCATATCCCTAACTATTCTAAGCCTTATACTGTATACGTAATCTTAACCATTTCAGGACAGGATCAATTTTTTTTTTAACAGCGGTGTGAAAATCCAATTTTTTTTTTGGGCTACAAAGCAGTTTAAAACCACAATTATATACAGGCATTTATTTACAAAGTATTCATTTGTAATTGTTAATTGTGACTGTTAATAATATGCCATCTATGGCAGTATATGATGGATAGCAGTAAATGATGGATGGCATAATATAACGGTCACAATTAACGATTTGAACTAAATACAGTACTTTGTCAATCCCTGTTTCCTCGATTAATACTGGTCTGTGCGCAAGCGCAGATGCTGAGGTCGGCAAATTTGACTAGGTCGGCGTTCTCGACAGAGCACCGGTACCTGCGCTTAGTATCGGAACATTTTCACGAGTACTTGTGACAATGCCCAGTATTGGCACTGGTGCATCCCTATTTAATAATATACTGTATTGCTGGGACTTGTAGTCCTGTATAGTTGGTGCTATGTGACAGTATTTCTGAAACAATACAGACTAATGATTTCAGGACAGTGGTGGAGTGCCAGAGCCCGGTCCCAGCTGCAACCCTGGTAGTTCTCGTGAAAATGCCAAGTATCGGCACTGATATCTGAACATCCCTATTTAGAATTATTGTTTTTTACTTCAACGTAACGTGTGGCACAATTGTTGTTTGCACACATAGGTGCACTCAGCATGTGTTTGCGTTTGTTTGTGCATGGAGTAGAGGGCTTTTACAAAAAATCTTAAAGTTTGAAATTTAAGCAAAACCTTTTTTAGACTTAAATTATTAAAGATGCGAGTGAGGGGATTTCCACTTTTAGGGCCCATTTACATTGGATGCGTTGGGGCTGCACTGGCCATTTTTTTCCAGCTCGGCCGCAACTAGGGTTGCCACCTTTTCTTCAAGTGAAACCCGAACGATCTAGCGCTGCAGAGGACTAACAAGTTCCAGCAATACATTATACAGCAATACAAGATGAATATCAATCGATATATGTGTTGTTCCAGGGTGGCTCCCTGATGTCTCCAGGGTCTCAGGTGGCTTGTGCAGGCTCTCATCAGGGCTGTGCTGGCTCTCAGGTGGGCTGTGCGGGCTTGCTGGGGACCTCGGCAGCCTTCCTGTGAGCCGCGGGCCTGCCCATCTCCTCTTCCATCTCCCTGACACCTGTCAAAATATTTAAAGTGTCCGGGTGTCAGCTGGCCTGAAACCTGGACACAGGACTCAAAAACCGGACTGTCCGGGTGAATCCTGGACAGGTGGCAACCCTAGCCGCAACGCAAGACAAGGCAATTTACCTTGTTCCAGATAGGCTCAGTTCATACCAATATGTTGTGGTGGTATGCGCTGAAAAAGGCTACAGCATGCAGCACTTTTTGAGCAGTGGGACGCAATACAAACACATTGCACCTCACTGTGCCCATAGAACTTGTGACATTTTATAAACTTCTAGCAAAAAGGAATTAAGCAGTCGATGAAGCGCATCAGCACTGGGCCCGGCCTATGCACACCAACAGCCATGACAGCTTTCCCAGGCACATGTGTCACTATTAGAAGATTTAACACCACCATTACAGATCCCCAACCCACTTTTTGCCAGAATCACTGATGTTGTAGCTATTGAATGCTATTAATAATAAGTGTGTGTGTGTGTGTGTATAGATAGATATATCCATCTATCTATAGATATATTCAATTAATTTTTTTTTTAAATTGTATTGTATCATAGTTATATTAATGTTTCTCTTTATACGCTTAACAGATCATATAATAATTTTTTTTCATCCACTTGATTGTGCATCTTATTTTGTTGGGTGTCCATTCAAACTTTTAGAACAGGGAAGGATTAGAACGCCTGCCAGATTTTTAGAATAATTGTTTATATATTGACACAGCGGGGCGAATTTATCAAAACTGGAGCAGGCAAAAGCTGGAGCAGCTGTGCATGGCACCCAATCCGTTTCTCTGTCTTATTTTCAAATCTTACCTGAGCAAACTGAAGAGAGATCCTGCTTGGTTGCCATTGGCAACTGCTCCAGATTTTGTATGCTCCAGTTTTGATAAATTTCCCCTAGTAGGTCAGATAGTACAAAGTTTCATGAAGCATATAATCGAGAATATAAAATCAGTCAAGATGGAATCCCTGCATTGCGTTTTTGTTTTATAATAAAGTAGTGGACAATAAAAAAAAAAAAAAATTATGTTGAAAAGTATTCATTAAATATGTATGTTTTCATATTTGAATATATCAATAATGAAGGCTCCCAGTGGCCTGTCCTGGGCTGAGTAAGCCTTGACTGAAGGAAGCATGGGCAGGTTATTAGGACAAGTAGGAATGGGGGCTACCGTGTTTCCCCGAAAATAAGACACTGTCTTATATTTTCTTTGGCTCAAAAAAACACACTAGGTCTTATTTTCGGGGTAGGTCTTATTTTTGTTTTTAATGTATAACAATCCAAAGTTAATGCAAATCCAAATTAAATAATCCAAAATGGCAAAGTTAAGAATAGGGTGATCAGGGCAATCAGGAGTGCCATACCTTTCCAAGAGCAATTTGGTAACCAGAATGAGCAAAGCGCACTTTCACTATAGATTCCTCACAGGCAGAGTGCATTTGGTATCACTCCGCCTGTGGCAGGAGGCGGCGCTATAGAGGAAGCATCGGCTTATGCGGGTGTGCTCCCTGCGCTGCCGCCTCGCTTCCTCTAGCGCTGGCTTCGTTGGCACCGCTGATTCTCTCCTGCGGCTATTCAAGTTCCCCCTTATGCCTTAGCGGCCATGGGAATGGTCACAACTAGGTCTTATTTTCGGGGTAGGTCTTATATTTTAGCAATTCCCAAAAATGGTACTAGGTCTTAATTTCGGGTTAGGTCTTATTTTCGGGGAAACAGGGTATGATGTAGCTGCTTCTGATTGGCTGTGGTCCACAGGAAGTACCAAGGTGGAGCATGCATGGTGGTCTTGGGCACAGAATCAGGTAAAATCGGTTGCCCGCCCTCCCAGCAGTCCAGGGTCTGTCACAGCTTTATTACCTTGCCAGCGAGTAAGTTAATCTGTAATGACTTATGCCCTTAAAGTTCATGTTTGCTATAGTTTCATGCTATGGCAGGTGCTCACAGGACAACTGTGACTGGCGCCAGTTACGGGTGCATTTACCTCTTCAATTTATGGATTTGTTTGTTGGCAAATTTCTAACAAAGCTGTGGCCTTGCCCTTTCCTACTCTATTTCAGTGTCTGTGTCATATTTTACCTGTGTGTTTTAATATTAGCCCTATGCTTCTCTTCAGTCATAATATCTGAGTCGCTGAATTACATTGATAAGAGAGCGAATGCAGGATCATAAAAAACAAAGGGTAAAAAACCCTGAAAAATAAAGCGAATGCAGCCGCCACATTTTAGGATCGGTAAACTGCAATATATTACGTTTTTGTTTTGGCATTAGATATGTGTTAAAGTAGTAAAATACTAGTTGCCTAGACGGTACACTGACACTGGCTCAGGTATTTTCACTCTCTGGCCCAGTAAGCTATTCCTGGTAAGAAAAGTCCTTTTATATGCACGCCTGCTCACTCATTCAAAGTACTGAAGCCAGAGGTTTAGCATGATGTGCCAGGTAACTGAGGATTGCTTAGTATTGGGAGTCTCCCATATTTCTCTGAGCGGTTTCCTTTAAGATGTAAATAGCGAGTGAGTTACGGGCCTGATTTAGGAAATTTGCCTGGGTTGAGAACGGTTTTGCATGACTGAGAACTGAATGGTTTTCTGAATGGCCGGTTTTCTGTTTGTTATTGCTCTGAGTGGGCGGCTGACCAGCTTTTGTAAGCACTGATGTTGCACAATGCAAAAGTCATTGTGTCATCGTCATGAAGTCAGGAAAGTTGTGTGACTAAGCAGTCCAGTATCCAAACTCCGTCCGGGCTGGGCCAATGTCCCTTACTACACAAGGCCAAATTGCATCCCCCCCACATGAGCCCTCAAATACTAAAGCCTAATAGGTGGCAGGTCCTGCCATTTTTGTGCCCCCCTCCCATCCAGCTGAAGTGCGCATGGAGGCCACCTCTTAAGCCCACCCATTGGCACAGCCAAAACATTTTTATACTTTTGGATAGATCTAGAAAGAGTAAATACTACAGTCTATTACTGTCTGTAATCCAGTTGGAAAAATATCAACTCCCTTCCTGTCCCTGTGACAACAGGACAAGATATGAGGAGTGATGGCCATACAATGGGAAGGAGGAGTTGTCACTGGGATAGGAAGACACCTACAGAAATGAATACAATGTTAGAGGTTACTTCACTCAGTTAAAATTGTGTTTTTGTATTGGTCTCTATTGGAGAGATTTCCCATCACTTCCTGTCCTAACATGTGTATGTATGTATGTATGTATGTATGTATGACATTCCGGTGACTTGGCTCACAATTAAACTAAAAATGTGTTTTTTGTATTGGAGAGATTTACCAACACTTCCTGTCCCTATGACAACAGTATAAGAAATGAGGGGAGCAATGCCCATCCAATAAATGGGAGGGGAGGCATTGCCATTGGAATTGAAAGATGCATACAGAAATATATACAATATTAGAAGTTTCCTCACGCAGTTAAAAAATTTGTTTTTGTATTGTTTTGGAGAGATTTCCCATCACTTCCTGTCCTAACGTGTATGCCTGTACATATGTATATATGTATGTATGACATTCTGGTGACTTGGCTCATATATATAATAATTTTATTTTTTTCTTTCAGAACATGCAGTGAAGGAACCCAGGGTGTCACTTCTGTAAACTATCCTGTCTCCTCACAAAGATGCATACACCGGTATGTTACAAAGTATATTTAAAGCGTACCCTCCATGGCAAACGGAAGGTCCACTATCGTGTCTACCCCCCAACAAAAATGACTTTTACCCCTGCCTGATGGCTGTACTCATATAGTTGGCAGCACGGAGCTGGGCCTTATTCCATGTTGCCACATATATGCGTACCTCTTATGTGCCACAAGAGCCCTGAAACGTGCGTCCCAAGCACTGTGACCCCGCTGTCATCAACAGGCCCCGCCCGGTCACTAAGCATCAGAGGCTGGGACGAGGTTGTGTGTTTTTTTTTGGGGGGGGGATGGTTACTTTACAAAAAGCTTTTTAACCCCTTTCCACCAGCAGGTCCCTTTAAGAAAGTTTAAGGCCTGGGCAATCCCGATTTATGTGCTCATTGTGATTGGCTGATCACCATTTAACCGACTCCCCATAGTTGCTAGGTAACCGCTGGCAGTGACCGTGTAGTCAGTGATCCAAGCTGCCATATGTTGCACACAGCGAGCGGAAAAGGGTAAAAAGATTTCATCATGAAGCAAGCAGGAGCATTAAAAAAACATTACATGCAATTGTTGTTTTTTTTAACCAATAGCCCTAGAATAAAACTTCAGCCAAAACTTCTGTATTAAAAAAAAACCTTGAATAAGGCGAGGGAGGGTTTAAAAGTATCTTTGCGCTCCATTGCAGTCTGTGTCCCTGCTGTATATATTTTCCCTCCCTTCTTGCCCAGGTGATCGTACAGGAAGTGAAGGTAAATGGCTCGAGTCTAACCTTTACTCCACTTACTGAAGTGCTATATTAATGCCTCTGTCCCTTTTGGAGACAGATTTAATCTACCTACTTTGGTAGTAACCCAGATAAGAATTTTCGATCCATTTATAAGGCAATTATAATTTTTTTTAACGTCTGTTTAGTTTAGGATTAATTAGTAATCTGAAGAGTGAATGCCCATTTTAAAACGATCTGCATACTAAGCAAAGCTCTTCAAGATAAAGCCCATAAATACTATTTGAGTATTAAATAGTTTTGGGCTGCCTGTATCACTCCAAGTGCCAGCATGACTTGGCACCCAGTGGCATCCAGGGATTTATGCCCCCACCTAGAGTGGCTTCCAACTATACCATAAATGTCCATCTAAATATCCCACCAATTCATAGAAGAGATACCTGAGCTTTTAGTGCCAATAGATCAGCACTGGCATCAAGATTAATGCCCAACAATATGGCTCCCATCAACCCAACCTCCCTAATGTAAACCTAGCCAAAACCTATTTCTTTCATAGTGTGGGGACAGGCAGGCCCGGTGCTAGACTTTGTTGTACCCTAGGCAAGACCAGCTACTTGCACCCCCCAGCGCCGCAGCCCCCAATCCCACCCATTCGTTTGCGGCCCCATTCTCCTGTGGGCTAGATTCCACAGGCGATAGATGGATGTAAGCAGCCAGGACAATAGCCAGACTGCTATTGGCTATTTTCATTTGAAATAGCCAATAGCACACTGGCTATTGAAACACCAGCAACTGAGCAGAGGAGCGGACCTGAGAGAGGAACTTGTTTCTTAGTATCGCTCGTTATCAGACCTGTCAGTTGCTGGCAGGATTTACCTTCTCTGTTTTGTTCTGGTGACCACTGTGACAGGTACAGGAAGTGATGAGAAATTTTATAGTTGGCACCAGAACAGGAAGTGAAGGGGAATTGTCCAATGAGGCCACCTACTCCAGTGGCAAACGTCTAAGATGGGATTTCCCATCCTTTTGGAGAGATATGCACTACTTTTCTTTTGTGCCTCCAGGACAGGAAGTGAAGAGGAATATTTCCATTAGGGGCACAAAGAAAAAAAATCCTGACTTGGATTTTAACAACTACGTTCTCTTTCTAAAACTAATAAACAAAGTTTTGGCTCTAGATATACTTTAACTATATGTTCTCACTCAATGTGCTATGCATGCTCAAAAAAACTTAAAGTACACAGGGTATATGTATTATATCCTGTCCTTGTGCCCTCCTGCTGCTCCCCTCCTCACACTTGTCGGCAATTCCCGGCTGTCAAAATGGCAGCCGGGAGTTGATGTATAAATACAACAGCTGATAGAGCAGCTACTGTCAAAAAGTGACCATCTAAATGAGTATTCAGAAACACCACTGAGATGCAAGATGGAAAGATACAAAGCAACGTGGTTACCTCTGTATTTACTCCGTAGATCAAAGGCATGAGCTTTGATCTGCATATAATGTCAGCTGAAGAACTCCAGGCAAATTATAGAATTAATCCTTGCAGTGGGGCTACAACGCTGATCCGCTACCGCCCTGGTGTTAACGGGGTCTTACTGAGGTTGGCCTTTTATTCCAATTTTAATAAGCTAATATTTTTTTTTGTTACAGTCTGCGCCTCCACCCTCCTATTATGACAACAGGGGGTACCAGGGAGATCACAGCAATATCTATGTGACCCAAGTGCCGTACAATGTGAACCAACCACCATACAATGTGTATGCATCGTCTCCTTCACCCAACCATCATGCTTCGCCAGTGCCACATTACTTGCCCAATGTGTCTCCCCACCACTCTGTGCCAGCAAACCAGCACGTGAAATCCTCAGGGTGCGGCTGTGCAGGTGAGTGCACCCTGTAAAACTACAAGAATCTGCAAAATGTTCCTGATTTTCAGGATTGTCAACACTGATCAAAAGTACCATATCACACTGTAGACTGAATTCATATATTTTAATTATGATCTTTTAATAAATTATTAAGCGCTGTAAAAATTAATGATACAAACAAGAGAGTAATACACATAATGCGATAGTAGTTACAAATACTTCCAGTTATATAGCAAAACATCTATAGCAATTACAAGCTACAATAGGTGAGAGACCCCCTACCCATTCAACTTTGCAATAATGGATGGAACCAGAGCACATGGTGAGCACATGGCGGGGGACACAGGTATAGAGGTGAATATTGGTATATACTTCTTCTATTAAGAAACATGGGTTTAAGAGTTTTTTTATTTAGACCAGAGAGGGTCACTTACAGGAATGAATTGTGGGAGGTCTAGGGAGGTGGCAATATGTGCTTCACACCCAGACATGCAGGTTTTTTGGGTGGAAGTGACCAATTGGAGCAACAGGCAGCGTTGTAGCTTGCAGGGCTATGCTTCATAGTTAGTATAGGGTTGTGTCATTGAGTGTGTAGTTAACAGCCCATCATAAGATTCAGCAACAACTTTAACTAAACTGATGAGGGCTGTTTTGTAGCTGCTGCAGTTTATATATCCCATCTGCTCCTATTTCCTCTGTGCTCTTTCTGCTCTTGTTATTATATAGCTGAATGCCTCAGAGGAGGGGCACAACCTCTCCTAGGCAAAGCAAGAATCCCTAAAAAACAATGATAGTTTGGGGTCAGTTTGTTTTTAGCTTTATTAAACCTTGTTTTATAACCATTTTGTAAATGAAACACAACCTCTCCTAGGCAAAGCAAGAATCCCTAAAAAATAGGGCTGCAACAACTAATCGACATAATCGATTATAATCGATTATTGAAATTATTAAACCTTGTTTTATAACCATTTTGTAAATGACAAAGGATCCCCAAACACTAAGGATTATCTAAAATGGCACAGCAGTGCAGCTTGCTTTTCAGCTCCCTTTGTCTGACTGAAACCTTTGTAATTAATTGTCTGATAAGGGAGAAGTCACCACTGTGATGGCCGATTCTATCTCTGACAACAATGGGTTGTACTTGATGGACATATGTCTTTTATTCAACCCCAAATACTATGTAACTATGTAACAACTGGCTTCCTTTAGCACAGATAAAAAATAATCACGTTAATGATGTGAAAAAGTGTCTAGAGCTCATCCTGCTGGCACGATGAAGACTACATGGCATTTATATAATTTATAATGGACAGGACTAAAAACATTTAAATAATATATTTTTTCAGGTAAATATTACAAACCAAGAAAAAAAATATATACAAAACTACGATCCCTGTAGTTACACACCAGCTGCCAACACATAGGCAGGCAGTGATAGACTTGCCTAGTAGGAAACCTGGCATGCTTTGCAAAGTGAGGACCATGGATCCACATCTTTAAAATATGTTTACCCGTTGAACGATTTTATAAAAAGAAAAACGAACTGACCCCAAAAAATCATACCTTCCCTTTTAAGAAACAAAAAATGCTGTTGATAACAATAAAATAAATAAGTATTAGTACGTATTAGTACGCTTAGGGGCCAGGATCAGCCTTGTCATCTAGGGAAAACCCCTTCAACTGTTGTTGTATAAGCTAGATTGAAGCGTTTAAAACAGAATTCTGAGTTTTTGAATCGGCTGATTTTCTGAGAACTGTTGATTTCCTGTTGCCAAAACAGAGGAAGTGTTTTGGATTGTTTAATCTGCACCAACATTACTGCCAGTGCGAGCTATGAATCAACCAGGAAACTGAGCGTTTTGTCGCAATAAACAAAACATAAAGCATAAAATGTGCATCTAAAACGCGCATAGAATTGCTGTCGCCTAGGTGTGAACGGGGTCTAAATATTTAATTTTTGACACTTCACAGAAACAAGAAAAAAAAAAAACAGCGTGCGGCTCCCCCGGCAATTCATACCAGACCCTTTAGGCCCGGTAGGAATTTTAAGGGGGAACCCCTACAGCAAAAAAATTGGGTTCCTCCTAAAATCCCATACCAGACCTGGTATGCTTAATCTGAGCAGTGGCCTGGCAGGACAGGAAAGGGGGGGGGATAAATGCGTGCCCACCCTCCCTCCACCATACCAGGAGACATGGAGAGAGCGCTTTTCCAGGAGGGGACCCCCTTAGAAAAGAAGAATGTGAACCAAAAAAAAAAAGCCTATATAAATAAATATAAAAAAGATAAAATATTTAGACCACGGCCTGATCTAGGTCAGTGTCCGTGTGAGAGTAAGCGTCAGTGTGTGAGGAAATTGGAAATATGGAAACTGTAAGTCCCAATCATCAGGGGAAGGGGATGTGTACACCGATCTCCTGATTGGAGCAGTTCAGAACAGATTTCACTGTTGTGACATCCATGCCCATCCAGTTTTTTCCTCCATCTTGCAATGAAGGAACAAACTGAAATTACTGGACCCATATTGGTCTATGGTGATTTGGATGTGTCCCTTTACATCAGAATACCTCAGATCCTCCACAATCAGGTCTGTCAGAGCAGAGCTCTGTTCCGCTTGGTTTTCCGGACCTGGCCAGAATTGGGGGTAATTGGATGTAAATGGACGCAGATTAATTTAGACCTGGCTGCACATAGACTAACATTGTGAGGGGAATGCCCACGTGAAAGGGCTCAAAATAATGTTGCATTGTATCATGTAGACTTTTCAGAAGTGTGTGCGGTGCCGCAAAACGCGTTGAACACTGCCTTCACCCCATCAGATAATTCAGTAAGTGCATGTTGTGAAGTACAGATTTCAACAGTGGACTAAGAGACTGCTGACTGATTGGGATGACATAGGCAGCATGCATGTGGTTGGAACAGATTGGTACAATCAGCATGTTCTTTTCAGTTTAAGATTAACGATACTTTGTATATGGAATAATAAAAGAAATCCTATATATTTTTGCTGTGGATGTAAATCCTTTGATGTGGCACTTGAAAAGTCCCTAAACTCTCAGGAGAAATAGTGGTACATACACTTTAATGATTTTGGTCAAGCCACAGGTTTACATGTGTTATGATATGAAAACATACTACATACAGATATTGCAGAATTTTAATCCTGGTCATTGAAGTCTCACAAATCTGTTTGTGTTTTTTTTTTTTTGTTCAAATAAAATCCTGTTTCTTTGTATTATTTATTTATTCTAGGCAGCTTGTTTTAAACTGTTGGGAGGTTCTAGAACATATCTGCATGTCTTTATCTGTCCTCCTTCTTCTAGGTAGGAAAAGGTTTGTTTGTATCTTCGCCACCGTCTGTATTCTCGTGGCATTAGCAATCATCGCTGCAGTGCTCTGCTGGTATTTCGGTAAGTGCATTTCATGGAATTTTATTTTTATTCAGAAAAAATGCACCCTGGACAATGCTAAGGGTTAAAGTAACTTAACCTCATGCTCATTATTGTGTATGTTGTATATGTTTATGCTGTGCTCTGCTGCTCTATATACTGTATATAATGCATGGTGCTCCACAATAATATACTTCTCGCTGTGCATTATATACTCCACACCGCTCTGCTGTATAAAATGCATGCTGCTCCACAATATACACTGAGTGGCCAGATTATTATGACCACCCCATCAGTACTTCGTTGGGCCACGAGATAACTCCACGAGATGACTTCGTTGGGCCGCCTCGTGACTCCACGAGATGTTGAAAGGTGATGCGAGGAATCTGACACTGCACTGTTGCCCTTCTGTTGTCTTCTACCAGCCTTGCCACTCTCCGTTCTGCCCTAACATTGACTAGTCGCCGACGGCCACAATTCGCACATTCAGACCCAGATTTTCGGCTGCCAGTCCAGTCTTTAAACACTTTAACAATGAGCCCCTCTTGAACATTTAACAAATTCTGCTGTTTTGCTTATACTCGCTCCATGGCTCCCAGCGCCAACAATCATGCCACGTTCAAAGGCTGTTAAATCGCGTTGTTTACCCATATCTTCAGGAAAAAATCACTTCTACTGTCGTGTTAAACAACCTGCTTTCCTATTTATAATGGTCTGGCCCTCTAGCAACTTCAGCGCCAAATTGTAGCTAATTTGCCTACAAACGTCAGGTGGTCATAATAATCTGGCCACTCAGTGTAAATTGTGCTGTCCACACTTTTTTGATTCACACAGCTCAGTTTGTGACCTCCCAGAAAATGACAATGTTACAGCTGTCCCAGTCAGTAATCTTTGGGGAGGGGGAGACTAAAGCCCGTGACACACTGCATGCGAAGCCGTGCGGAGTAAAGCAAAGCTGTCAGGCACGAAGGTTCGCATGCAGTGTGTGAGCTGAGTGCGGGCACATGAATGACAACACCTTCAGCCAACTGGCTCGCGCGTAACAGCCGGCTGGACGTCGCATCCTGAGCCGATTAGCTGAAGATTACATTTTTCATCTCTGCATGCTCAGCTATGCGAGCTTTTGCAAGCTGACCTGCTGGTGAGAAAATTACATGACACCGTGCACACGAAGACAGCGCGCCACCGCTCCGTTCTGCTGCTCGTGCAGTGTGTCGCAGCCTTTAAGGAAATGCATCATCTTGTTTTTCCCAGAATGCTCCTCTCTGGAGCATTCTTGAATGGAGCTCGGGCCTGCCTTTTGATGAAAAAACATATTTGTTTTTCCTCCTAATATGACATGTCACAAATTAGTCTAAATAGATTTGAAATTATTATGGCCATGGGTGAGAGTTTAATTCTTTTTTTTACTTGCTGATGGAAATTTTAGGAGATTGAAACTGAACTCCGGCGTAAGCAAACATTGTCTAAATAGTCGTGTATTCTTCCTTGTGTAGTAATCTAGTGTGACACTTGAACTTTCCTGTGATAAAGACCGGTCACTGCGGCTCTCACCTTATGCAGGGTGACTGGTCTTGTCTCTGCCCCCCTCCAGCAAGCAGCCTTTAGTGGGTGGGGCCTGCTGGGTCCCTTCCACTGCTCTGCTCTTTGCATCGGCTATGTACAGCATAGTGATGATGCCATTCCTACTTTCTTAAGGGTGCACCATTTTAAACAGTTGCTGGTCAGTGCCTTCAGTATGTGCCCAGATGGCCTGAATGACAAGCCATGCCTGCTGTGTATGACTGAAGAACCAAACCTTCTTTTGCTAGTTTGGTGATTTGTAACGCACACAAGCACTAATGTATTCTTTTTGCTTTCCTCCCAAGTAACTACCAGCTGTGAAAGGAAGTGCGGAACATCTGACAGTTGTGTAAAAGCTTCTCAGTGGTGTGATGGCACAGCGGATTGCCCCAATGGGGAGGATGAAAGCTACTGTGGTAGGTGTTTGATGTGTATCATCTATGTAATCGATGAAGAATTAATCACATTGCTCCCTTCCCCCATCTTAATCTCACACACAGTTCTAGTGTTTACTTCCTGTTCCAGAGATGCAACAGAAAATGAGAGGAAATCTCTCAGAAGTGAACATGACTCCCATCTAGGAGAGGTGTCCTAGGGAGACGTGTCCCAATCAGAGTATTTTCCCTCATCTCTTGCTCTGATAACAATTAAATGTAGGGTTTCCCCTCACGTTCGCTCTACGTGACAACGGTCACCAGGACAAATGGAGGGATGGATCTGCCCACTGTGGAGGAAGTTTCTAATCTTTCCCTAATCTATCCAAAACTGTTTGCCTTAACATACACTTTAATTCACTTCTTCCTCCCCTTCTCTCCATAACTACCTTTTTTGGGGGGTAATTTATTATTGTACTTTTTACCATTTGCATCCAGTTTTTATTTATTTTTTTCATCCTTATTCATTTGTTTGTTCATTTTTGTAGCAGCTATACTTCACTGTCTGTTATTTCATTCGGAAAAAAAACTTTGCCATGCTTTGGTACTGGAATCCTCATTTTAGCATCATTATGAACATGACAAAATGCAGAATATGTTTGAATCTACACTGCCACCTAAAATGTTTAAAAACTATTTGTGGTCAAAATAGAAAATTGCATATTTTTACAATGATCATGTATAAAAAGCAAATAATATTTAGAAGACAATACAATCAAAAGAAAAGTTTGTTTGCCTCTAGTAAAAAATGTTTTTGTATGTATTACTTTGGGATCATTCGGAACATCAGGGTTATGGCTAAATCAATAGGCCCATTGCTGTAATGTAAAAATTGCTCTGGACCATAAGGGTTTTAAAATACAAGAAGGCTTGGGGGAAATGGGGAGAGTCAGGACCAATCTCAATTTTTAAGGTCAATATAGGGCAAGATGTGCATATAATTTTATCTGCATGTACCAAATGTTTTAGCAGTATTTTTTTTATTATGTGCTAAAGCACAAGTTAAGGTTGAAAGCAACCCTATCACAAAGCTGGGTAATCCAGACTGACCATATGATGGAAATGCATAATGAGAGGTGACATAAAGGCAGCTGAAGTTTTGAGGCTAGGTTCACACCTAGTCTATTCAGATGCTGAGCTGTTTTTGCACGTTTTCGATTGCGCGACTGTTCATTGTAAACTCTGCGGTTGTCGCACGTTTTTCAATGTATAGAGATGTCTATGGGAACCAAACCACGCAACAAAAGCTTGAAAATAGCTCCTGCACCTTTTCGAGCGACAGGCGATTTCGTCCGTGCGAGAAACCGCAATGGTGGGAATAGCCTCCATTGACTTCAATGCGAATCTGTGTTTTGCGTGATATTGCGCGACTCAAACCGTGCGATAAATCGCCTAGGTGTACACCAGCACTGAATCTTGACTTTTCCTGTAACTGGAGACTGACCCAGCTCCTTCTGACTCGTGACCGACTTGTGGGACCACTTATTGCCATAACGTAGCAATATGGGGGCCTCTGAGGTTGGAGGAGGTAAGTGAGACAAGTTTACCTTTTCCAGGAAAGCTCAAGATTTGCCTATAATTTCAAATAATTAGATATACTAAATATGTTGATACCTGCTTTTCACTTCTTTTTTTTATCGTATACAGACCTTCATTTAGCTGGTTTGGTACTTTAAAAATAGAGTGAACTCTGCTTGGGTAATCCCTGTGTCTTATGTTTGCTTCATTGGGCAGCTTGAGAAGTCCGTTTTGGTGTTCAGTAGCCCAACCACTATTGCCACATTGTTTCTGCCTGTCCTAACATAGGATTCTGGACTGAATGCATGGCTCTGATTTAGCTTGGAGCAAGGAAACGCAAGGGTGTGAAATTAAGGGCTATGTTCCCAGACCCAGCCGCTCTCAATTTAGCCAAAAGAGCTGGCGGAGTGATGTGTCTAGGTCAGTAGATGGGTTGTTATCTGTGGGTTGTGTGCTGCACCTGTTTGGGTGGATCTCACACTGTTGTAGTTACCTGTAGACAGGACGGGGGGGGGTTTGAACCCCCTATCCGCCCCCTTATCTACGCCCCTGCCTGTAGACCATACGGAAAGCCTGTCACTGCAGCCCCCAGTGGGTATCATATCTGACCTGTCCTCAGGGAGGGGTCATCCACCGAAAGTTCCTGCAACATAAAGTCGGGCTTTGGCCACCTATTACAATAGCATGTATCACATGCCATCGTTACTCAGTTTTTTAAATATTGTTTTATAACTTTTTCCAGCACGATTATACGGAGATAAGTTTATACTACAAGCTTATTCCTCAAAAAAGTCAGCCTGGATGAATGTGTGCTTTGATGATTGGATCAACAATTACGGAATTTGGACATGCCAAGCTATAGGCTACAAGAGGTAATTATTGCATTTATTGTTCATATACAGGATGTGGACTGTCCCTGAGATGTTGTACACTAGGATGCCATCTGCTATGCTAAATAGGAATAAAACATTTGTAGATAAACCTCTAAATTAAAGCCAGGTCCATAAAGACATGGTTTCATGAGTTTGGTGTAGAGGAAGTAGAGTGGCCTGTACAGAGCCCTGACCCCAACCCTACTGAACACCGTTCAGTAAATTGTGAACCAGGTCTTTTTTGTCCAACACCAGTACCTGGCCTCACAAATGCTCTTTTGGCTCAGTGGGCACACACTCCAAAATCTTAACATCCGCAGGTAAGTGGAGATTGTCTTAGCCATATAGGGGAGAGGACAACTTCATATTAATGTCCATGGTTTTGGAATAGAATGTGCAACAAGTTTATTTAGGTGTGATGGGCAGATGGCCACAAAGTTTTCTAAGTAAATGAAAAACATATTTGTTTAACCGATGTAAGATGATTTTAAATCAGCATGCAGAGCTACAGTGCAAGGCAAATCTGCTGAGACTGTTCCTGGGTGTGCATGGCTACCACTGCCGGCACCAACGGAGATTGTGCCCCTTACAATATTTGAATTTAGCCACCAATGAAGCCCAGGTCAGTTCCTGACTAACAGGGTGCCCCTAATTGATTCCTCAAAACAGACCGCTCATGTATCCTTTTTAGTTTGTCTGTTAGCAGTCAGCCTTTTCACACAGCAGCAGGTTCACACAGAAGAGAGAGCAAGAGAGAGATCTGGCTTCCAGGTAAGATGTGGACCTAGGAAATTAAGTTTTTTTATAACACCCAAAGCTCTAAAACAAAACTCCAGGTTTCAGGACCCAGACCAGAACTTAAAAGTCTGTGAGAGCAAAGTTTGTTTTCTCAAAATCAGTCCTAAATCGTGGTGATGGTGAGAATGTTATTGTTTTTGTTAGTTTTATTTCATGCTGATGTGCCATCATTATACCCCTAAATGAATTGTTTAAAAACATTTCTGCTTTTCCCCTCAGTTCCAGTTATTACAGAACTGAACTACAAACCGTCACATCAAACTTGAAAGGTTTCGTCAGTATAAACACCAGCGCCACCTTTGACAAGCTCTACACTAGTGTGAGAAGCAGGTATGCTAACACATTATTTAAACATGTCATGTGCAGCCACTTTCTCCATTCTTCTGATCAGAATCCACATTTTTCCAGTCAAATGTGGGTAACGTCAATTCTGCTTGTTTGCTTCACCACACTTTGTTTGTGTTTTAGTAAGTAAAGCATAGTCTCTGTGCTGCCCTACTAAACATGCATATGTCATGAGCAACTATGGCTGACCCCATGTACCAACTATACTCATTAATAAGGTTGTGTTAAAACATTAACATGCCTGTTGATAATGTAGCGCTCACCCCTGAAGGAGCTGCCAAAGTAACCCAGGTATTCTGCCAATAAGCCAAAATGTACCGCCCAAACAGGATCCACAGCACATCAGCACACCTTGGAGAGTTTTGTAACGGCTTGACTAAACAACTAGTGCATATTTGTAAAGCAGTGTAATAGAGAAGACAATAATTGAAGAAAATAACATTTAGCAATATACAGTGGGTATTCTGACTCCGCAGCCGTGGTTGTCCGTATACTGAAATATGCAGCACTGACTACCTTAGATGCTGTCCTGGTCTTTGAATACTTGATTGCTAATGTCTTAGTCTGAAATAGTCTCTAATTCTCTATACTACTGGGCAATAGCAATAGTCTAAGCTAGTCATCGTTGGGACCCATACTGTATTGCAGAAGCTAATGGAAGAATATCATAAATAGCCAAAGGCCTCTTATCACTCCCGGGATCAGCCAGAAGAGGTGATGTCAGTCAGCGAGAGACGGGTGTCCCCTTTCTCTCAAGCCGACACCTCTGATGATGCTGAAGTCATCTGGGGATCCCTTGAACAAGGTCTCCGGTCACCGAAAGGCACTGCGCCACTTTCCCTGTCAACACCGTCTGGTTCCCCCCGAATTGTGGGCCTTCTGGAATCACTCACGGTACTGGTTCGGCCCTTCGTCCAGGCTGCGATATCCCCGCTGTAGCCGTGTCACTGTGTCCCTCTGAAGCAGGGCAGCAATCAGAAAGTTTGGGGCCCCTTACACGGCTTTAGGCTGATATACCGCAGTGCTGTACAGAGAACACTGAGCCAATCACATTAGTCAAACTTGAAGCGGTGGAAGTAAAAAAAAATAAAAAATTGGTGTGCAATATAGTGAAATGGAAAGTGTAATCAATGCAATCAATACAGAATGTCACCGGCTATAGAGGACTACAAATCCCAGCAATAATACGTTATACAGCACAATGCAGAAAACACCACCAGCTATAGATGAATACAGCAAAGCCCAGCAATACATTATACATACGGTGTATAATGTATTGCTGGGATTTGTAGTCCTCTATAGCTGATGGTACATATACAGCGCAATACACCATCAGCTATAAAGTAATACAACCAATCACTATCACAGCAAAAAAAATGTATACAGCATGTGGGGGGTCAGCCCATCTGGGACTCTCTATGGTGGGCTCTGAAGGGGTCTCAGGTGGGCTGGTCAGGGCTGTATCCCCCTCTCTCCCTCCCTCCCAGCTCCTCTTACCTGCTCCTGGTGCCTATACACCTGGCCTCCACTGCAGCCGGACTGGTCAGAAGTCACGTCACATCACTGACGTGACGTCACTTCCGGCCGGTCTGACATCAGAAGAGCAGTGGTGCTGATGGGGCCCCAGCCTGTCTCGAAGCCGCTGGATCGGCAATGCTGGGGCCCTGCGCTGCTAGGGCCGCCTCCAGCGCGGCAGGGGCCGGCCGCCTCCTCGTCTTTAACCTTCGGCCGATACTCACGTAAGGGTCCTGGGCGGGCCCCCCAGGCTGCCTGAGCCCCTTACATGAGTATCGGCCGTACCCCCTGCTCTGAAGTGATCGTTCAAGTGTCTCTGAGCATAGCAGAACAGGATGTAGTCTCTCTAACTCTCTGAAGACTATTTGATCCACCTGCGCTCTCCTCGACAATACATGCAAAGCCTATGAGCCCCTCTGCATAAGCGGCAGCCACACAGCTCTGTCTCTTACACTGGATTTCCCCAGACTGGCACTCACAGAGTCTATGGGTCCTCTGCAGCAGCAACAGCCACACAGATCTGTGCATTTGGCTGAGTTCTCCCGGACTAAGCACGCTCAGCAACACCAGCTCAGAATCAACCCTCCTGGGAGTTGCAGTCTGAAAGATCTCACACAGCACCACTAGCCTCCTGCTCTGCACTGCAACTCCCACAAGTCTCCGCCTCACAGGCTGCAGAAAGTCAGTTCACTATTTACAAGCAGAATATTGATTTTTTTCCATAGCAAATTATACATAGGGGCTACAATAATAACATCATCAAGCGGATATAATTCTTTGTGCAGACCGTGCAGATGCACAAGGACCTTCTGTGACTTAAGGGGCTTGCTTGCTTCTAGGGAATGTCAGAAATAAGAGGCATTCTTTATGATGGCCTTACCATGCTCCTGGTTTGTGATATATCCAAGTAGTATCGGTGGAGTCGGTATTTTCCTTTACTGACTCCCATTTTTACCTGACACCGTTTGGGCAGCAAGTGAAGGGAGGGTTTGCTGTCAGACCCCAGTTACATATCATAAATTATGTGTGAGCTCAGGGTATCGCAAAGGTTACTCCTTATCTGCATCTATCCATACACAGTGAATAAGTGCTTGTATTTGGGTAGAAGTTGAATGGAACACCTGAAAACTGTTCTTGCACAGGGATCCTTAGGTGATTTTTACCAAAATGCATGTATATATAAGTTTACAAACCATAATGGAATGCTACAAGTCAGCATTTGCATTTACATGGCTAAATGCACTCACACTAAGTGCCACTATGGAAATGCAAAACATCTATCGTGTTTAGGCTTATATCCATTGTATTCATTCAAATTGTCTCCGGGTATATGATACAGTGACTGGATAGTTTTTAATTAGATCTAAGCAGAATATAAAGCTGTCCCACTTTATTTGGTATAATGGTAGCTTACCACTATGACCCCTGTGACGATTACACTGTCGGGTCCCACTACATGCAGAGATTTTCCTGCTTTGGGATAACATCTGAGCACTGGTAGACTGAAAGAGTTATGTTAGATAGAACTGGAAGACTGAGAGTTATGCCTCATTCACACGAGAAAAGGCCGGCACGTACAGCCCCGTGCTGCATGCACGGCCGTATCAGGCAGCTCCTGGGAAGCACAGGTGCTGCGTGATTAGTACGCCCTACGCTCATTCCAAGTGCAGGTCCGTACGGGTGTGGGCGTCCCGGCTTGGACACAGCCAGGATCCATCCTGTCAGCATACGAGTACGGACAACCGCACAGACGTGCAGGGCGGGTGAGCGTAGGGCGGCGTACGGCCACGTACTCCCATATAGAAGGACGAAGGCTGCGTACTAATCACATGCAGCACCTGTCCTTCCCGGGAGCTGCCCGATACGGCCGTGCCGGAGCTGTACGTGCTGGGTTTTTCTCGTGTGAATGAGGCCTTATTGACACTGGGGCAGGTTAACTAAAGCATTACACCTTAACATACACACACATTGCAGCCACCAGCACATGTTTAAATGGAAACATGCACGGTTCACAGCATCTGCTGTTGCATTTCTGATCATTTAAAAGAAATGTCTGTATAACTTTCTGCAATATCCAGACAGGAATGTAACAGCGTTATCAATATGGTAACTCTCTATAGAGCGGCAAACATTTATTCAATGTCCAGTTAAAACATTCAGAGATTCAGCTTAACAATTTTTTTAAATTATTGTAATGAAAAGAAGAGAAAAAATTGTGCAGGGAATGTTTCCAGAAAATATCTTACAAAACTGACAAAAGCGGGATTAAAAGTAAAACAAATTTAGCAAAGTCCACCTAAGCTTTTGGTTCCATGCAACTTGTTTGCACAGTATGCCCAATCTGATATATCAGCGTCACTGGCTCTCATAAATGACTCTTCACATTCCTTCCTAGGTAAACAAGAGCCATGAGCTGCATATGCAGCCACCTTTTCTGGTCTCTGAAGAGGTTTACAGAGATAACACAACCAGTCAGAGAGTCTGAGGGAGTGTGTTTGAAGAGGTGTTGAAGTGTTTTATTATGCTCTAGCAGATGCATCCTTTAAACCATTTTTTGAAATACATCTATATGTCCATCTGACAAGGTTTTATCTGAAAATCTGACAACCAGCATGTTATTGAACAGAATAAACTACAATTTGTTAGGGACTAAACATGAGATGGATATTATAAACGTGTCACTTAAAAGGACTAATGACTGGACACATGTTTAGACCCTTTGTTGAGACTGGGCCTAGGATCCAAAGTACTCCAAATGAATCCCCCAAGCCCCTTTGTTCAGACTGGCCGAGGACTCAAGGTTCTTCAAATTGATCCCTGAGTCCTGGCAAAGACCAAAAAGAACTTCACCACTGTTACCTTTTAGGCAGTTTTGTAGGCCAGGTCACATTTACCGTAACTATATTTATTGAATCATTAATATTTTAGAATGATAAATGATGGCTCAGAATTGCGGTTTTATTACGCTGCCTCTTTTTTTTTTTTTGCAGGGATTATTGTCCATCTGGAAAAGTGATCTCCTTAAGGTGCATAGGTAAGTCTTCAGTTTTTGTCAGGTAAATCAGAGAAAAGGAAAGGATGTTTGCAACCGCTGAGATTCCAGCTGTTATATTATTTTGCATGTTAGAAAATGAGATATAGCATATAAATTGTATTATAAACAACTTTCTTTCAATGTGCATTAGTAATAGCCATTGGTATAGGACATCAGTAGTATGTTTGTTTTAAAACTAATACAAGAAACAAAAGATAACCTTAGACCTCATATAATAAAATGGTGGAAAGAGGAAGTGCCTGACCTGACCTTAGACAGCAGTAAACCAGACATGGGAACACTCCCTGGTTTGAAGGAAAAATGTGTCTCTGGCTTCTGAGATGATTGGCTATTCTAATGCTTTCAGGTAAGACAGTGGAACATATTGGCGCCTTTTAGTAGTAATATCACTAGCTCATGTCAGGGTGTGTAAGGACCCATTCCTGAAGATTATGAGCCACTTATGTGCAGTTGGGAAGGTCCTTCCCAGACTGGTCTCAGTATGTGCCCTTCGGGATGCCAGAACCTCCACTCCAGAGACATGTTTGGGGTTTGATTGCTTATTAATCTGTGATCTTTTCTTCACATAATATCAGCCTGCTTGTGACGGGTCCGACATACCCTCTACAGTTGATGTTTTCATTGTTTGGGGTATGTATGCTCAGGAAAATCGGGACTTTGGGCTACTTTAATTTCCATGATAGTAAGAGACAAGTGGCAACTGTATACATAAAGAGTTGTAGATACTCTATAGCTGTCACATAACGTCTGATGTTGTATCAGATGACAACTGCAGACCATTCCATTGGTATTACAATCTTACTGACTGGCATAAATGCACCAAAGACTGACATTCTCTCTTTACTGGCACCAGATACCCACAACAGACAATGCAGTCAGCATCGTGTTTGAGGCTTATGTTCCATAGTTATTTATTTTTTGCCCTGGTTTAAAAATGTGGAATAATTACATTTTTGGATTTTTCCCCCCCCCCCCTGCAGACTGTGGAATATCTACAAAGAACCTAAACAGCAGAATAGTAGGCGGTACGATGGCTCAGAGTGGGGACTGGCCTTGGCAAGTGAGCCTACAAATCAGCAGATCACATGTGTGTGGGGGGTCTATCATTACCCCGGAATGGATTCTCACTGCTGCACACTGCGTAGAAGGGTAAACTCTCATTATGTGAACCATAAGATCATGATGGATATTTTTTGCATATATTAAAGCTAAAATCTGGGCTAAATAAATATCGTGCTTTCACTCTGTCATTGCTACCATTACAAACTAATATCTGGAATTTCGAAGGTATTTGGTGCATATCAAGTGGTGGATTTATAGTCTCTTGGCTATTCAAGGAATATATATTGTGTGTGTGTTTGTGTGTTTGTACAAGGTATTACATGTGCCAGGAGATCCACTTTAAATGGAAAATATCAATGTATCCGTGTAGTTCTCTCCCCCCACCCGTCCCCCTTTCCCTGCTGTCCTAGGTGATTGCCCATGGGTGCCATAATGCTAAATACAGCCCTGGAGAGCCCTACTACAAGGGACATTTTTTTTTACAGACAATTTAATTGTCTGTGATAAAAAGTTAAATATGTTTAAAAAATATTATCATGAATTTCTTTCTAGAAAATATGCTTACCCCAGCCAGTGGAGCGTCTATGCTGGGTCAACTGCTAGGTCAGGCGGCAGTGTCTACTACGTGGAGAGAATCATTGCTCACCCCAATTACAACACAGAAACCAAGCACAATGACATAGCACTGATGAAGCTAAAAACCAGCATAACGTTTACTTGTAAGTCAACTCCTTCTTTATTAACAAACTATGTATTGCATGATTGTGGTGGTCAGCTTACAGTATAGACTTTACCATTTAGAGCCTTAAACATGCATGTCAGGAAGACCATTGGTTAAAAGTGAAGTTTAATATATTGACATTTTACCTTCCCTGGTTCCTCCCTCTTTTCCTTATTAACATGCTAACAAATATGTTTACATAAAACTCATTTCATTTTCATTACTTTTCTTGCCTTAGATCCAGTGATATCATCACTGGGTCGCTATGCTTTTCTATGCACTGTGGGCAGATCATGGCTGGTGGGAGAGGCCAGCAGGGTGCTGTGATGTTTTCAGGAAGCCATGTACAGCACCCTGCTGGCCTCTCCCACCAGCTCTGCCTTGGTACTCCTCTGGCACAGATCTGCCTTGGTACTCCTCAAGAGCCCTCAGCTCTTATGCAATCAGTGGGCTGGCTCTTGGGAGGAGTTATGTAAATATCAAAATGATGGATATATATCAGCCTAGAGCAGTGGGTGTTCCTATACATATATTTGCATGCAGACTGCCCTGGATAATGATTGTAGAGAAGAACTGGTCGCACTCCTTACTGGAAATCAAAATGATAGGTGCTGAAATGACTGCGGATGGCGCCGCTATCACCTAAGTTGGGTTGGGAAGAATGTCACCAGCACATCAAAAATCCTTATAGGATCACCAATTGTTCATTTTATTGAATAGATTGTCAATTGAAAAACAAGCTCTTTCGGGACCTCACAGGGTCCCTTCATCAGGTTCAACATCGACGATGTATAATGCCCACATGTCATGCTGAGCCTCCATTATTGAAAGAACTGAAATCTGATTTTCAACAGCCAAGTTGGCGAGAAAAGCCCTAGATGATCCTGAATCATGTAGACAGGACAGTCAGGTTGGGGAGGAAAAAGCTAGAAGATGCTGGATATCCTCCAGCCAGGAAAGGAGACAGGCTGTATCTGACTTGCTGCAGCTTCTAATTCATGTTGTGAGAAGCTCAGTGTGCAAGGAGATCAGAGTAAACCATTTGAGTACAGGAGAGAAGCCTGTGCAGGAATAAAATGAAGGCCACGGTTCGTTTTTAAAGATCTGGATCTTGGTCCAGGACCATGCAGTTTTGCTTTAATACCCCCTCCTTAGCAGTTTATACTCACCCTAACTTCACTCCCACCTTCTATCTAAGTTTAAAAAGGGTGGATAAAATGCTGGCACTTCTGGGTATGAAGGAGGATGTGACTTACTCAATGTGACAATGCTGGTGCTTGGGGATTGGCCCAGAATGGTCACATGGAGGTGTGAAGGGAGTCCCCAGCCCTGTGTAAGCTTCACCTGGAGTGATTTGGAGCTTACACAGGTCCGTCTTTTAGTAAAGGTAAGTTGAGTATGTTCTGCCGAGAAGGGGGACATTTAAGTTAACCTGTTGCTTTTCCTTGTGTTTGAAAGACGAGGCTGCATTTCTGCCTTTCAATGTAAAACTTTGCGGGTAACATACAACAGAAAGGAAAAGCACAACATGTCTAGTATTTTTCATGCTTAGCAATTTTGTAAAGTGTTACATATTTCATGCACTATAATAAAAGTTCACTGAGCATGTACATGTTTTTTTCAGCCACTACCATCAAGCCAGTTTGTTTACCTAATGCTGAAATGCCATGGAGTAACACCCAGTCCTGCTGGATCTCTGGCTGGGGTTACACTTACCAAGGAGGTGAGAAGCACAGCTGCATAGCAGATTAGGCCCTAAACATTATGATTTTTATTTAGCATCAGTGATTTTGTTCTCTTTTTAAAAGTTTTCATAATAAGTACTCACAAGCATTCACCCAATAGGAAACAGTTTCCAGCCCCTACTGCATTTAAAGCTTGCCATACACCTATAGATTATCTGCAGATTTTCTATGATCAGATGGGAAAAGTGCAACAGATTCCTCCATCTACGCTAAACTGTGCGGATGGAGGAATCTCCCACTGGGCCCAGCTTCAGAATCTTGCTAGTTGGCCCCGCTGGCTGTCAAAATACCTGAACAATCTGATTGGATGCAGGCATTGCTCAGGTATTTTGACAGCCAGCGGGGCCGACTAGCAAGATACTGAAGCTTGGCCCACTGGGAGATTCCTCCATCCACACAGTTTAGCGTAGATGGAGGAATCTGTTGCACTTTTTCCATCTGACCATAGAAAGTGTACATATAATCTATAGGGGTGTGGCCAGCTGTAGACAAAACAAGCTGTAAGAGGAAATCCCACCTATGAAGACAGCAATAAAAACAAACTTTCTAGTAGAGTGAGGAAGGTTTAGAACCTCTGTCAGGATTTTATTGTTGTACATGTGCCCATGATGGAGATTACCCTACTCTTCCTGTCCAGGTGATGGGTGCCAGAGAAGAAGTGAAAAGAATTCTGCTCTATGGCGACACAACCAACATTTCAAACCTGATAGTACTGTAATTTAAACTCCTTTATATTTCTATCCATAGCTTCTTGTTATATTCCCAATCCTTTGCAGGAATTGACTATCACCCTAGATCTTTTAAAGCTGCCACAAAATTACATACAGGACAAAGAAGTTGTTCACAAATGATCTTATAATGTTTCTATGATATCCTCACACAGGAACCACTTCGTCTTACCTGATGGCAGCTAATGTGCCCCTGATTGACTCGAAAACCTGCAACAGGCCTTCTGTCTACAACGGAGTCATCACCTCCTCCATGATATGTGCGGGATACCTCTCAGGAGGGATCGATACTTGCCAGGTAAAAGAGAGCTTGTGTCACTTTGGTGTACTGCTCAGTGGGATTCGGAACAGGAAATTGGCTGTGGAAAAAAAAAACATGCACCTGAAGTGAAGAGGAGCTTGGTCGGAACTTGGAGCATACACAGGGCTGGAGTCATCTGCCCCCTATGTGACAACCATTGACCCATAACCAATCACTAGTGCTGTCATGGGGGAGCAAGAGGCGTGAGTCACATGCTCTTCTCTTCTGGCAGCTGAATGGAAGTGGAGAGAAAACTAAAGGAATGAGTGTATGCTGCTGGGGCCTACATACTTGAACTGATGAATCTGGCAAGGTCCAGAGAATCCAAATTAGGATTTAGGGTCTGTAATCTCTATTGGTTGCCCTCACTTTCACACACATTCCCTTGACTGTGGTTAGTGTACCAGTGCCATATTGGACACAGTGACACCAGAAGTGCTTGTACGTGGACTGGAAATCTCTGGTGTTAAATCTATTGACTTATTCTGCCAGCAATTTTCCTGGAAATGTTCATACTGGAACATGCCTTGTAACTACTTTACTAACTCTGTGTTACTGCCTGTGGCTGAATGTGTTGGCTGTGACCCATTTACCTGCATAATAGACTCGAGGATTACAACTGTTGTCCTGTATATTGATTGTGCAACATGTATTTTGGCTGCTTCAGGATTAGGCGTAATGGTGGGGATTTATTAAAGCGGACATGCTTGTTTTTAAGGACAGCGCTTACGCAAAAGAACCTGCACTGTAATCTTGTTTATTTTTAGTTTTTTCTGCACTGTAGATACCAAAGGCGACATGTGAACTTCATATGGAGTAGCATTTATTTTGCACATTCTTTTTTGTATTCTCCTGTAATCATTTGCCCTTTTTTTCCCCCCTTAAAAGTGTTGAAAAACATTTTCCCAAGCAGTTCTTATTTAAAGGGAACATGTGATTTTTTTTTTCTCTCCCGTTCATTGAAGGACACAGGGAACAGATCAGAGATCATGTACTGTAGGGTAATATCGCCACCTGCAGGAGAAGGACGCTAGGCACAAAAAACTAAAGACCAATTACAGCCTAGGGGCGGCCCCTGCCGGTGGCCAAACCCCCCACCTGCTGACAAGTCTCATGCGGGGCAAAGCAACAGGTTTACATAACTGCACCCTTCCAAGCAGCACATACTCCCCTTCCTTTAGATCCCCTTCCTGCAGCATTCAGCTGCTGGAAGCGGAAAGAGAAAGCCATATGTAAGTCATGTCATGGATTCTACACATGGCTGAGGACCCTCACGTGACAGCCTTGGGTGCATGGGTGGACAATTGAAAAGCATTAGGGCTATCATGTGGGAGGAAGGTAAGTGAGTCCTCATGATCACCATACCAGAAGTATTCCAACAGATAAATGGAGTGGCAAAGGGAGGGGGAAGTATGTGTAGCTGGAGACGATGGTAGCTAAACCCATGAACGAAAATGTAATACAGTGGTACCTCGGTTCACGAACGCTTCTGTTCCCCAACAATTCGGTCCCTGTCCTAGGGTGACAATCACTTACTGTATTGATTCTAAAGAGGAGCCTTGACACCCTAGGACAAAACTACATAATTCCCCCCTCCCCCAATCTTTCCTCCATAACATAGATGCAGAAGGTGTTTTTTATTCTAATTCCACAGAGGCACAGGAAGTTATTGGCTCTTAATATTTCTGTCAGGATAAACTGTTATTTTTCCACTTGTTGAACAGATCTAACAAAATGCTTTCAATGGTAAATTGAAAAGACCAAAAGGAAGCAAGTAAAAGAAATTAATTGTTAAGGTTACACTTGAAGTGTACCTGTTGCTTCCTTCTGCGTAGACAAAGTAATGTTCACAATTATTTCAATCTTACGGTGCTGAATTCAGCCCTACGTTAAACAGAAGTGTGGATGTTTGCAATGTTGTCAGTAATATAGATGCAAAGCTTTTCCTTTAATCACTCTCATTTGTTTATGCACAGGGAGACAGTGGTGGGCCATTGGTCACTAAAACCAACTCCCTGTGGTGGCTTGTCGGTGACACAAGTTGGGGAACAGGATGTGCCAATCCTAATAAACCAGGAGTCTACGGCAATGTGACAGTGTTTTTGGACTGGGTCTATCAACAGATGCAGGTATGGTAAAATTCAACTTTCTACCAGCAGCTATTACAAATTACTTTGTGTTCTAGACCTGACTGAAACAGTGTTATGGTTCTGGCACTACTGGGCCATTGCATTACACTACTGGGTATAATGCTTCAAGGTCCTCTCCTTCCCATTCTAATGTTGAAGGTTCTACAGTCTCCCAGCTTTGACTTTGCCCATAGAAATCTAGGTTCTGTTTTATCCTGCTTTAATGTTTTAGTACTCCCTCTCCTAATTTTTTAGGTTCTAGACCTGCCTAACACATCTATAACACTCTTATTACTCAATTATAATACTCGGGGTTTCATTTTGCCTATAGTGATTTAGGTTTTGGTTCTACCTGCCCAAATATTAAAGGTTTTAGAACTCTATATTCTAATTTCCCTGTCTACTTAAATGATCCAGTCTTTGGCCCTGTCTACCTCAATGATCCGGGCTCTGGCCCTGTCTACCTCAATGGTCCAGGGCTCTGGCCCTGTCTACCTCAATGATCCGGGCTCTGGCCCTGTCTACCTCAATGGTCCAGGGCTCTGGCCCTGTCTACCTCAATGATCCGGGCTCTGGCCCTGTCTACCTCAATGGTCCAGGGCTCTGGCCCTGTCTACCTCAATGGTCCGGGCTCTGGCCCTGTCTACCCCAATGGTCCGGGCTTTGGCCCTGTCTATGATGACGGTCCATTTTCTTGCATCTCCAACCATAATTCTTCAAGGTTTTTCCCTCTCAACCACAATGTTCTAGTGTCTGGCACTGTCTACCATAATGGTCCACAATTTGGCCCTATCCACGCTAAGGGCTCTTCAATATCTGAGCATAGCATCAATCGCACAATTCTGACACGAAGATGCTATGTACTACTTTTTTTCCATGGAATCATGTGAACGCCATACTCTGATATGAAGGGGCCCGAAGGGTCTAGTTTTGTCCCTTTTACCTTAAGGGTTTTGGCCCTTTCTAGGCTAATGGTGCATAATTCAAGTTTCGTCCCTGCCTATCGTAAGGGTCCAGGTTCCTGCCTGCTTTTGTTTCATCTTCTCACACGATCTACTATTATGTTTTAGGTTCTGGTCCCATAACTCCATGTTACTTTTAATGTAGAATAGTTGATTAGGGAAGAACAGTGAGCAAAAGTGGGAAAAATGGAATATAACTATATGCATTTTAGAACAAGTCTTGTTTCTCACTATTCTACTTGGCATATGTAGGCTTGCAATCCAATCTTCTCCCTCTCCCCTTTTTGTTTTTTTTAGTTCCGTGAGTCTGTTAGCACTGAAACCACACACATTTCAGGACAACAATGCTAGGGCGCATATTCATTTTATGACCGTAGGAATGGGCTAAATTAAGTATTTTCATTTCACTGAAATTTCAGTACATGTTGCCACTTTTGGAAAAATTGCTTTGGAGTGGACTGACAGGGAGAAATTATGATGCTTATAGTGTTTGTTTTTTAAGGGTGTGATAGGCTTCAAATGGTTACTGAGGGTTACAAATGCTCCTTTCTATCCTGGACCTATTTTTCAGCAAGAAAAGTATCCCCATTAGCTTCATTATTTTATGGGTTTTTTTCAAAGAAAGAAAGACCGTAAAAATAAGTTAAATACCAAGTTTAGAAGGACGGCACACAAACAACAATCTAATAAACACACAAAAGAAAAAACAAATACAATTGATAGTAAGGGCCCATTCACAGTATTGCCTTAGCTCATGTAATGCCGCCTTCTAACGTGCAATATGTTAAGCCAGCCTATTCATTTGTATTCGTTCATGGTTCATGTTGCATTTCTTTTTTTTTTTTAAATCTTCGTTTATTAAGCAGAATAGCAGTCTGACACAAATACGTAACATGAAGGCCAGCACGTAGGCAGCCAACAGTTCAGCACATAAGAAAAGAGTGTACAGTACAATGAGGATAGCAAAACCTCAAGTGAGTCAATATGCTCCAGGGCACAGTGGCAACGCAGTTTGTCACGATCCTGGCTATTAGCGTCAGACCAGCCACTGGTCAGTTAGTATTATACACCATAAACAAAGTGTAATCATTTTTCAACGTATGCTACATACTCGCCGTGCTTAGGGTATGGTTCCTATAGCTAAACTTAATCACTTGTTGCAAAAAGGAGCGCACTCTGGTAGAATCCAAAGAACCGTACAAAACAGAAATTCATGCCACTAGGCATACACTGAGCCCTAAGCACGGAAGTAGAGAAAATTCAGCATAACTTACAATAATACAGTAAATCAAGGAGTAAGAGTTCCACGAGGGATGCAGAAGAGAAAAGGTTGGAAATATCAGCAAGGTAGGGGAAAGAAATGTAGAAGGAAAGGGAAAGAACGGGTAAGGAAGGAACCTGCCAACCCCGATTCTCAGCTTGAAAGTGACTCAAGCATCAGGCTCCATTGCACAGGGCTATAGGCCGACATAAACCCAGGGCACGGGACCCCCACGTGGATATATTGATTTTTTTTTACCAGCGTAGTGCACCGCAATGTACGTCATTCGGCAAGGTGCTTTGGGGTGCCAATCCGAATGAATGGCACTGCATCACACAACATGCATAACTCGAGTTACCGCATTTCACTTCAGCAAAATCAATTTTGATGTAACAAATTGCTCCTGTATGACAGGTGTCCTTTTAACTATAAATACATTTTAAAAAAGAATTCTACAACTAAAATAAAATGCTAGGAGGTAAGGACTTTTTTGGCAGAGGAGACATGCAAAACCTCTTCTGCCAAACAAGTCTTCCTTTTCCCCTAGCTTTTTTTTTTCTTTGTACACTCATGGTGTACATACAGTACAGACTCTCAGCCCATTTCCAGCATCTGTAAAATGTCCCAGGGATGATTAGACTCCTGTGCGCATGTGCAGGAGTTACATTATCAGTGGCAGCCCAGGGGATCACCATGGGACCCGGAAGAATCGGCAGCAGAGAGGGCAGCGATGACAGATGCCTGGATCCGTCATCGCGGCAGAACAGCATAGACGACGGTAGGTATGTCTGCGTACATGCTGTTTATGGCCAAAGCTCACCCCCACCAATGGAAGTTGACTTCTGCTTTAAGGAAACAATTGTGAGTATAGAAGCCTGTATAACCTGTGTAATGTGTTCTTTTCTTTTCAGACCTATAGATGATGATGATGATATTCAGCACATTTTGGTTTTATCTACTGCTCAATTTCATGGTAATGGGAACATTCCAAAAAGAAGAAAGCGCTGCGCACTTTATTATTGTCTCAGGATGTCCCTTTTTTTCTTTGTTTTTGTCATTTTTGAGACTTTCAGGTGTCCTTCAGAGCAACCGTATGCCTGATGTTGTCTCCAGACTGTACTGTATATTTTATAGGGAGCAAGCCACTATTACTGCTTGTACAAGAACAGGAGCACCATACTGCCATGTTGTTGGCAGTAGTCATAGAGCAGACTAGTGGACAATCTGCTTATATTTTATACATATCTCTTTTCTTATTCTTTTTTTAGTCTAAAACACTTATTGTAAATATCTGTATACTACTGTGACAGGTGATAGCTTTATTCCAGGCTAGAATGCAGAAATGTGCACAACTGGAATCAATGCTTGATTAAAGTGTCTGTCCTCCCAAAACTGATAGTGAGTGGAGTCAGGTCGGTTTGGCTGAATCCGCACATGGCTTGTCATATGTCTTTGATACTCTGACAGTAAGAGGTCTCTGCTATATAATTCCTGACTCCTGCCCACTTTAGAGTTTTTGGTGTTCCTGCCCACCTTTTGTGTCTTCTAGCTCCATGATAGGGCATAAAAAAAATCCATCAAGGGTGGTGAGAGCCCCTGGACAGAGCAGGTGTGCACGTAGCACCCCCTTACCTGGCGCCAAACTCATTAAGCCTGCCTGCATTAAGTCTGCCTGAAGCTACTGCACTGCATTTCCAGTGATGGAGGGTCCAAGACCCTGGAACATCTCATTTCCCGCAGACCATGTCAAGAAACAGTCATCCAGGTACTTACGAGGGGCCCCTCAGCTTCTGGTGGTTTCATGCCTAATCCGTAGGCAGTTCCACCAAACCTCTGCACTCAAAGAGTCATTGGTGTCTCAGGTTACATGGTGTGTAGTCTTACTTGGGAATCATTCTAACCATCACCATGCAGGTTGACCCACCTCCACTAGGCCACTGCACTCCACTTCTCATCCCATAGCATTAATACTTCCTATCTTTAACCACTCCCTTAAAAAGCTATCACACCCAGACTCCTGAAACGCAGCTATTCCTCCTTGTAAAAAGTAATTGACCCTACTGCCCTTAACAGGCAGAGCATGCAAACTCTGTCCACCTGCATGATCCTGATGCCCAGTTCCAGAACAGGGTCCTAAAAACCTCAATAGATACAGTCGTTGGCCACGTGTCCTAGGAATGCACTGCTGTGGTATGTTCCGCCATTAGATTAGTTGATCCAGACCATGCAGGTTGGTACTACTTCATAATGAACTTGCTTTCCCAGATGGCCTTCATGAAGGAAGTGGAGGTCTTCTTTTAGGACTCCGAAAACCAAAATTTTACTTCCACCACAACTTCAGAATCCCACGGTGCTTTTCATTTATGTTTTCTGCAGTACTATGTTGGGAAACCACACCGTGTTTACATTTTTGTTTACAGTTTGCACTGACAATTTATTTTCCCCCATGAAACTTAAGGTCCATTGCACCCTGGGGAGGTGGGGGGGGAGACGAGAAACCTCTGCATCTCAATCTTCTCTGTAAGGCACAAACCCAGAGGAGCTCAGCTTTCATTTACTTCCAGGTTCAGAGCTGTCAGATCCCCATCCAGGATAACAGATCAAGTACAGTCTGTAATGCAGAGTACAGCGGAGACATTAGGGGTCTACCAAACCCCTAATATCTCTATTACCAGAACCTATTATCACAGATAGTTATTTCTTTGTTTTTTTTAACTTATTAATATAACATTTTTGTTCCATACTTTGACGTAGTTTCTCAGGCATGCACAATTCTAAGTCTTGACATACTTGGTATCTTCTTACTTGATTCAGTCTCATCTTTTATATTTTTAGAGAAACAATTGTAGATTGTGTTTGCGTACATGAAAATTAATTTGTATTTTCTACTGAAATGATAGGTTTGATAAATACTTGCACTAATATCATATGCTGAAAAAATTGCAACTACTATCCTATGATTCTACGGGTCCTTTGCTTTCAGAAAATACATTTTGGGGCTTTACATACATTTTCAAGTACAAAATGAGCATTTAATCATGTGTGCGCAAAACAACAAAGATTAAAGCTAGACTCCAGGCAAATGTCTACATACACATCTGAAATATAAATTTTCCTGCTGACTGGGGAGCTCTAGATGTGACTTAGCAGGGGTGCAGAGAGACCACTGCTTCCACACTGAGAATCAAAAGTCTTCCACTGCATGTTTTACTCTCCATGGGTCTGCGTTACAAGACAAATAGCTGAGGACTTACAGTGTCTATGCTCTCCCAATTTATAGAAAAGAATTGCCCTGAAATTTCAACTGGACTTTAAGGCTAGACCCCAGATTTAAAAAGTCACAGATTAATGCAGCTCTGTCTTCATTAATACAGCATTAGTCTTGTTTTATTTATTTAAAGCAAGCAGTGTAAGATCCTAAATTTGCCCTGGTTTCAGTCTCTTGCAATCCCCTATGCATCAGCTCTGCCTGAGGTAAAGAAAAGCAGCACACCTTGCAAATCAGGTTTGCTGCACTACTAATATGTTAGCATGAAACATGCTGATAGGAGGAGAGAGCAGTGACAGAGCAATGAGCTCATCAATCCGCTGCTTCTCCTTTCACTGTTCAGGCAGGTGAAGGGACAAGACCTAGTTGTATCGCTTAACTGAAGCAAAACCAAACCAAGTTCCCTCTCCTGCCAGACAGGGCTGTGTTGTGTGGCAGAGCTGTGTAACTCTCAGGACTGGATGAAGAGAAGTAGAAATCCTTTGACAGTTAAAACTGTTCTCTTATATTTCGTCAGTGTATTTAGTTATTTGCGCTTGAGTTCATCTTTAGGTATAGTGCTGTTTTTATACGAATGCTGCCCTGTTTATTCAATTCATTATAAAGCACAATAACATTTTACCGGTGCCATCATTTCTTTTTTTTGTTAAATAATTGATTTAAACCATTTGCCATTATGTTCAATGATAAATGTTGAGTAAATGTTTCAATAAATGTACATTTTTACAAAAGTCTGTGTATTATTTCATGTAGGACAATACAATTATGGGTGCTAGGTGCTTCTGTGTGACCGTGTTGGGGCATGGCCAGTGCTTTTGAAAGTAGGGAAAGGTTGTGACATTCACCTTGGGACCTGTGAGGTAAGGCCAGAGCTAAAAGGTGCAACTGATCGCTAAACAAATACAACAAATGGTTCTCTAGGGTCTAAGTTGCCCAAGTAGCCTTCGGTAGTGATCAACAACACACACATGGAGTACTTGCAATTATGCAAGACTGAGCCCTACTCTATATAATCCATACTCTTAGCTATTAGTGATTTTAGAAGTATAAATAAGCTAA